CCCTCTCTCTCTCTCTCTCTCTCTCTCTCTCTCTCTCTCTCTCTCTCTCTCTCTCTCTGGATGTTGCTTTGTAAGTATGCCAACAGATGCTAAAAATGTCAGCACAGGTGACACAGAATCAAGCATTACTGTTTGAATACTTTGCAATTTTTCTATTTATATTAAGATACAAATGAAATGGGTTGGTAATTCTAAAAATAATGGAGCAGAATTCTCTCTTGGTAGACTTTCTCAAATTCCCAGCATGCTGGGATGGTTTGGGAACCCGTGTTAACTAAACTGGAATGGCATCCCATTTCTTCGTATTTTAGTACCAACAGTCACTCATTTGGGGTACCTTTGCCCCACCAAACCCTATTTTCATTTGTGTGATATTCTGTATAACTGTTCACCCACATGCTTAAAACGAAGAGGACTACTGTTTTTCAGGTCATCTCTCCCTCAGATCTGACATGCAATGCCCACTTCTTCAGAACAAGGTCTACGCAACTCAAACGGATTTATTTCCAGATAATGGGATATGGCTGAATGCATATGGCTGCACTGTAGATAAATAATTGTCATCTAATCCCCTCTGCATGGTTTGGATTACAACTCATGGCACAACTACAACTCACATCATCCCTGGCCAAACTAGTTGGGGCTGATGAAAGTCCGAACTATCTAGCATTCATTCTAGTTAGCATTAATGATTGAGAGTACATATAGTTATACCTGCTGATTGTATTTGCAGGCAGTCCAGCCCTGAAAGTGGACATAAAACTATTCATTCACCCTACTTACAAATATTTATTTCTAAAAGTTCTGTATTGCATCTTCTTCCCCAAAGGCAATCCCAGGGAAGTGTATGTAACACATTTTACACACACACACACACACACACTCCTGCTAAAAATTAAATAGAGGCATTAAAGCTTTAAAACCAGCAAATAAGACCCCTCCACACACAATGTTTTAAATGGTTAGGGCTCTTCTCAAGATGCCTGGGCAAACGTGGTTTTATTTGATGCTTTAAAGAATACAGAGTTGGTGCTGTTGATACAGAGAATACATGTTTTTCAGGTGGGAATTTCGCACTCTCTTACTGCCATAATTTATTTATTTAGAACATTTCTATGCCGCCCCATTCTCAAAAAGCCTCGGGGCGGCTTACAAAACAAATATATAAACAATCATACAAATACCCTTAAAAATCCGGAGACATCTCGGCATAAATATAGAAATCAATAAATAAATACAATCTACAATTAACAATTAAATTAAAAGGTCTTGGCCTGGCGCAGAAACACAAATAGCGAAGGCGCCAGGAGGACCTCTCTTGGGAGCGCATTTACTAGCGCTTTATATAGTGACATAAGCAAAAAAGAAACAGAGGGACTGGCGTTTACCATTCCAATGCTAAATTTTAAGCTTTAATAGTGCAGAAAGAACAGAGGTCCTGCTACCTCTCCATTCAGTCCCATTGAATTAAAAAGGGTGCACTGAATAAGTCAGAAAATCTGAACAGGTCTAGTAAATGGTAAAGTTACCTAGTGAGTGTTGTCAAAAATGCCCTGATAGTGACTTTAAGCAAGCAAATTATCTTCTGACATTTCCTCTTGTGGGAACTTCTAAGTCTTAAGGGTTGTTAGGAACTGTCAACATTCACGAAGTCTGTGACACAAAATAAGTTGTACTGAAAATATATTATTCACAAAGAAAGCGTTCCCATACTGACTTGCTTTCAGATGGGCTACTTGGGCCTTTATCCACCACTTTCAACATCTGTAGCAAATTCCAGCACATAGTATCACTCACTCAGCACATAACTTGGTTATAACCTCTAACATTTCCATGTTCTCCGTTTTCCTGGGTCAAAGACTATGTAGTCATGGAGCCATCGTACACATGCTGTTTGGCTGCTTTTAACCTTGTTGAACATACTGTAAAGGGTGACTTTTATAATTAGATAGATG